AAGGAAATGGCGTCAATGACGCGATCTGACGGCAACTACATTGACAGCTATGGCCATCTATTGGTAAATTCCGATTTCATATTTACATACCTGGTATTTTCTCTTGTTGGTAAAAATAAGAAAATGCAGTATTAAAAAGTTGATAAAAAAAAATCTGAAGAAATTCTCAGAACTTTATGAGAAGAAAATAAATGATTTTTGTCTCTTGCAGTTTTTCTGTAAAATTGATAGTATTTGAGTAAAAAATTATTCAAAACCAATATTTTGCAATTTTTAGTAATATCTCGTTAACTATTGCTGACACCGCAAAATGTTACAGGACTTTTTAATTCTGTATAGTCCGTTTTACCCACGCACGTAACGTTTGCCGGTAATTTCCAGACACTCTGTATATGTATAGCCGAAATCTGTCTCTATATGTAGTTGAAATCTCCACCGAGAGCCTTTAGAACGCATAAGACAGAACAGATACAAAGAAACAGGTACCGTGACCTCCAGTCAATTTCCCATTCATCAGACGAGTTTTACAGCCATCGCTGCATCCAACAAGTATATACCCATGCCACTCACCCATTCAGCGCGGGGTGAGCCCAGTCGCTATTTCGCCAAGCCATTCGGGCCGATGAGAGGTAGGATGATCGGAGGAGAAGGGAGGAGGTCCACGCATCAATCTAACTCTCACTTTAATACGCGAACACATACTTTTATTTTTACTCCTACATAAACAGAGATAGATCGTAGACGGTAACCGGTAGCCCTAAGCTATCCTGGAGGCCATTCTGTGGTGTTCCCCTATCGCCCGTCCTTTCGAGCATCATATCCGCGGAATGTTCCTTGTTCTTCGAGGATTTCGCGGGGGACCTGGAATGTCGTGGTTCGTAGCTTCTTCTTCTTCTTGTCCTCTATGGCTCCGACAGGCGGAACGCCCGCAATACGGCTAATATTGAATGTGGCGATATGGGATGAAAGGTGGAGGAAGAGTACCCCCGAAGTGGCAAACGTTCCGCGCACACCTTCACGTGGAAGAACGCCAGAGGGAGAGGGAGCGACTTAGATTGAAGTATTCGTGGAGTGGAAGAAAGCTACCAACAGTCAACATAATTTTGGAGTAAGGTTCAAAAGACACAGGAAAATATTCTCGTGGATGTTATGGAAACGGCAGTGTAGATAGCTAGTCAGTTTGTTTGCTTTTAATCGAGTTAATGGGCAGTGGAATTAAAAGTGGTCGATGTCTTGGCGGGGGTTCTCGCATGAGCATGCTGCTGAGTCGATTAAGTTCTTGCGGAAGAGTCCGTAATTGAGATTGTAATGATTCGACTTGATTCGATTAATCATTACAATTTTCTCACGACTGAGTGGCTCGTGATGATGTGGAAAAGGAGTTCGAATAATGCTTTGCGTAGAATTGTTCTTTAATTAGCTCTTGTTCTGATAGATAAGCCATGAAGCGCTGGTTGCTACTAACTTTGGAGTCAAGCTGATAATCAGCGTAAGGTATACAGTACTTCGGACGTATGTTGAAAACACAGGCGCTTTTTGCCAATTGGTTGGCTATTTCGTTGCCAGTGGGAGGGCACTCAAAAGAGCTCGATGTTATATTCTGCTTGTTGAGCCGTCCAAAGACTGTGTTTAAGTAGGTTAACTAAATAGTTACTGCGGTTGGGTTTAGGTTGGTTAATGGCTTCCAAGACGCTTCTCGAGTCTGTGAATATGACAATATTTATGTTATGTCCAGACTCCACAGTTCTTTTCTTCGTTTAGAATTTTCGTCATCACCATAAGAATTATTAACAAGTAATACCGATGGACAATCTGTATCTACCATAGGAAGTTTCGATACCTACGAGCCAATTAACGTTCGCCTTTTTAATCTAGTAATCCACTCAGGACGTAGTCGTTGTATTAAATATTTGAACCAAGTAATGAATAGAAGAATTTTGTCCCGAGGAACAGAAGAAGTAAATAGATTAAGGATTACAACCAGCGGTTATCCTTAATAAATGACACTTATGGCTCTAGACTATCGAACATCCGGCAAATAGTCGATGACGAAAAGTCGTTTTAGACACATATCCCAGTATCCCATTTCACAACCGATATCCTTAATCCTAATCCTAGATTAGACTAGTGCCACATGCTAAACCTGCACACGGCACTACTAACTATAGTGAATATAAAAGGAGGCTCTTCGCGAACAGTCGTTCAGTTCAAAACTACCTAGCTAGCCGAAACGCTGCCGGTCCGCTATCAGTCAAAATTCAACCACGAAACGCTGCCGGTCCGCTATCAGTCAAATTCAACCACGAATCTCTGCCGGTCCGTTATCAGTCAAATTTCAACCACGAACCTTTGCCGGTCCGCTATCAGCCAAATTTCAACCGCGAACCTCCGCCGGTTCGCGACCCAATCAACTTTAATTGTGATCCGCGACACGGTCAAGTTACTCCAGTGTCTCCAAATCGCTTGGGTCCAATCGTCCGCAGGACATCCGGCCACCCGCAGTCAGAGATTACCGAGATTGGACCTCCAACAATCGCTCTCAAGTTCAGGAGCTGCTGAATAGCAGTAAGTCACTCCTTTTAATTATTTACCTCGGGAACCTAACTAGATCACTCTCTAGCGAAGTACTAACCAATTTCCCTCTCAGCCTTTGCACTCTCAATTTTTTGCTTCTATAACTCATCTGTCGTCCTTATCCTTTCACATTCATCGATTTCTTCGATGAATTCTATATCCCTTATTTAGAAAGAAGTCCGCCTAATCCGCGAACTTCACTTTCTTATTATCTCCCTTCCTTCTTTTTATGCAGAGCCTGATAATAAAAGATTTATTTAACAATCGTAATGAGTGATCGACCACGCACACGCCCTTCCCGCGCGGCTAAACGCCTACGAGCGCAACGGCTAAGGGAGGCCCGTCGACTCCTAGATGAGGCCTATCAAGAATATCGCGCTAGAATTAATAATATCGACAGTGACAATAATAATGTTAATTTATTAGATAATATGAATAACAATGTTCATCTAATCGAAGGTCCTCCTCCTCGGTCCCCCTCCCTTGTAATTGTTTGTCCCGTCGCAACCCCTCCCTCTCGAACTCCTTCACCTCCCGCTCGAACTCCGTTACCCGCCTTCTCAGACACTCTAACCGAGCGAATCTTCCCCGACACCCCGCTTCAAACTTCCGATCCTTCCATTCGACCCGTCCCTCCGTCTCCCCGTCCCGTTTCTCCCGCTGATTCAACATCAAGCGTGGAATTTTTAGATGAGCTTCCCCTCCCCGTCCTCGCTATTACTTCCATCACGGAAATCCCCAATCTTTAGCTTCCCTTTTTTCCCAATTTCAAATATCTGCCAACTCCTTCTCCCGAAATAAATTTGGTAAATGCAGATCCCGATCGCGTCCGAAATGCCATAAATGGTCAATCACTTAAAACCCTTATACCTGTTTTCCTTCCCCACTCCTTCCATTCTTTCCTTGTCCAGTAGCCTTTTTCTTAAATTTCTTCCCTCCCCTTCCTCCGTCATAATCCAAGAATTAAATTAATTTCCGTATCACCCCTCCGAGTACACACGCACACACTCACACATAATTATGTATATACACATAGGTATATATTAATAACGAGTTGTAAGCGCA